GGTTGATCAGCTGCAGTTTTTATTTATTTGGTCGTTTCCGATCATTATAGTTTGCCTGCCATCGTTGTTTTGGTCTGTCAGTTGCGTTTCGCCAACCTCAGTGATGTGTCAGGGTTTTAAGCAGGGAGACACAAATCCAGATCCAGGCAAATGATCAAATTACAGGGTCAAAAAATAAACTTCCAGTGTTCACATATTTCTTCGTTACCGATTATCGTCGCCTCTCTATCCTTGCTGGCTTGATTGTCGTTTCGACATTTCGCCATCTTCAGTGGTGTTTCAGGTAAATTAAGCGTCAATTTACAGGTTGATCAGCTTCGGTTTTTATTTATTTGGTCATTTCCGATCATTATAGACTGCCTACCATCGCTGTTTTAGTCTGTCAGACGCGTTTCGTTAACTTCAGAGGTGTGTCAGGGATATAAGCAGGGAGACACATATCCCAACGCAGGTAAATTAAGTAACAAATTACAATTTCATCAGTTTCTGTTTTTATTTTCTTAGTCTTTTTCAAACATTTTGGTCTGTATGTCCTACCTGGGTTGGACTTTTAGAGGTGTTTCGATATTTCACCATGTCGGTGGTGTGTTAGGGACATAAGCAGGGATAAATACATATCCTTACCTACATACAAGTAGTATATATAAAGGTGATTGCCAATATAAAATTATTTTAGAGTAGCTGAATATAAGTAATTCGATCCTTAACGTCATCTTGGTCTGCCTATCCTCAGTAGTGTATCAAGGATAAAGCAGGGAGACGCACATCTAGACCCACTTAAGTTAAGGATCAAATTACAAGCTTTTTAACTTCAGTATTTAATTAATCGAGCTAACCGGTTATCTTGGTCTGTCTATCCTCGCTGAGTTGACGGGTTTTGGCATTTCGCCGTCCTCATTGCTGTCCTCAAGCAGGGAGACACTCGTCCAGACTAAGGTAAGTCAAGCATCAATTTACAGGTTGATCAGCTTCGGTTTTAATTTATTTGGTCATCTCGGATCATTACAGTCTGCCTACCATCGCTGTTTTAGTCTGTCAGACGCGTTTCGCTAACTTCAGTGGTGTGTCAGGGATATAAACAGGGATACACTTATCCAGACGCAGGTAAGTTAGGCATCAAATTACAGGTTCCTCACCTTCGTTTTTATTTATTTAGTCGTTTGCGATAATTATGGTTTATCATCGATGTTTTGGTCTGCCAGATGGGATTTCTTCATACTCAGAGGTTAGTCTGGGATATTAGCAGGGAGGCACATTTACAGACTTACGTTCAAGTAGTTTATATATAGGCAATTGCCAATATAAAATTGTTTTAGTAGCTGAATGTAAGTAATTTGATCCTTAAGGATCACGTTGATCTGCTTATTCTCGATGGTTTATCAGACACATGCCGTCTTCAGAAGTATAAAGGTAAAAAGCAGTAAGATACACATCCAGACCCATGTAAGTTAAGGATCAAATGACAGGTTCATCAAATTCAATGTTTATTTATGTAATCTTACCGATTATCTTGGTCTGTCTATCCTCGCTATGTTGACCAGTCAGATGCGTTTTGGCATTTCGCCAGCTTTCGTGATGTGTCTAGGGTTATAAGCAGGGAGAGACACACCAGATAAGTTAAGCATCAAATTACAGGCCCATCAGCTTCGTTTTTATTTATTTGGTTGTTTCAGATCATATTTGTCTATCTATCGATGTTTTGGTCTGCCAGACGCGTTGGGTAATTTCGCCATCTTCAGAGGTGTGTCAATGATATAACCAGGGAGACATATTTACAGACCTACGTACAAGTAGTTTATATAAATAAACCTGATTGCGAATATAAAATTATTGGTATAGTAGTATAAAATTAGTCAATAGTTCAGTCATGGATTGTCGTGAAGAAAGAGACGACGAGTTTGTCCTTGAGTCTTACGGTTAAATGTACCATCTGTATACCATGAGGCATACCAAAATGACCCAAATTTTTTTGACCCATCGTTTCTATTCTGAAACAAAACGGACTTATTATCCTTAAAATCATAGAATTCACGCTAATTGATTTACAAAATACTGTATCGAAGAGGGCTGTCAAGGATGGTACCTCCAGACAGAATCCTTTGTTTTACATTAGAATATTTTAAACTTTACAATTTCACTGCTTTCTCACCAGTCTAAGGACATTCAAATGTAAAGGGGCGTAAATTTAAAATCGGGACAAAAGTGAGAACCAAGAGATTTGTAAAATGCATTGAAAATTGTTAAGGGAGGACTTCAATAGGACTGTTATTACCCGGGAAAGTGAAGGAAAGTAGGATCACGTCTCTTTTTTCTTTCTTTCTCACTTCCATTGCGCACTTGGCACCTTCCTATTTATCGACAGATTAGTCCTTCGGCACGTCTCATTTTAAATTGTTCATCCTTTGTTTAAGCGAGACCTCCGAAAGCCGGACGGCCGGATATTGAAACTTTTGCCAGGAGTCGGTCAGCTTTTACTCTATACATCTTGGACTGCGAATTTAAGCAAAAATCATTTGAACAAAATTTTCTGTAAATGTGTTCAATCAAGATCTTATCCAAGCAGTTCATTTCACAACTTAAGCACCAGTACGGTTTGAAAGCTCACTTTATAAACGAAGACGTTTCGTCCGATTAAATGCAAAGATTGCTGGTTTTCATTTCATCGAGACTTTTTAATTTTTTAATAAGACCATCTCTTAAGTGGACTACGAGTTTCACTAGAAAACGCTAGAACGAACAATTCCAACGCGTAATCATTTAATCTAACTGTCAAGACGAGACCATTTGAACTCTCTTTTCAACTGCAGAAAACAAGAACGTGATCTAGATCAGGAATGTAACGATTGGTGCTTGATTACGTGAAAGTGATACAATTTTTTCCTCTAAGGGCAAACCTCTTTCTTCCTCATAGTTATTACTTTCCCTTTCGTCTCGTTCTTACGGCCATGGTTTGTTAATTAGTCGATGTTATCCCTCATGCTAAATGTTTATTTTGTAAGTTCTCATCAATGGCAATTTATTGATAATTTCATTAATTATCATGGTGTTTCTCAGAGAAGCGTCCTAAGACCAATCATGTTTCAGCTTGAAAACATAACACTGCATCTCTATTCTTGAAACAACAGCAACAGAAAAATGTCCAATGTGAAAGAGGCCTACAAGAAACACAAAACTTTCTGGAAGCAAGAACCACTGTTTTCATTTTGTTTGTAGTCAAATCTATGGGGTTTCAAAAGTAGTCGACACAACAAAACCAAACTTTTCATATTGCTACTTCACTACTTTTATAGCAAATAAATATTTTCCAAATATTTCTCAAAAAATCGAATGATCAAATGCTGTAAAACTAGCAGAAAGGCAGCCGAACATATTTTCAGATTTGGACAATTTGATGGAATCAAAGTAATTTATTTTCAAGAGTGGGTCCTGATGAGAAGTGGGTGCTCTAACCTCTAAAATAGCTCAATAAGCCACCTTTTAATCTTAAGAAAGGTACAACAGGGCGTTCTATTCAGTTGGATTCAATGGAATGTTTTAATTTCTTATGGGTTAAATTGATAGGCAATAAGTGAAATTGAAATTTATTTTTTACTTACTTGTCATTTCCATTTATTTTTTGGTGTCAGATGCGTTTTGGCATTTTACCATCTTCATTGTCACAGATACACACACATCCAGACCCAGGTAAGTTATGGATGAAATTATAGGCTCAACAGCTTTAATTTTTAATTATTAGGTCGTTTCCAATCATTATGGTCTGTCAGACTCGAGGAAATTTTGCCATCTTCAGTGGTATGTCAAGGAAATAAGCAGGGAGACACACATCCAAAGAGGTATATAAGCTGATTGGCAATACAAAATTATTTTAGAGTAGCTGAATGTAAGTAATTTAATTCTTACCGATCATTTGGGCTGCCTATCCCCGCTGTTTTGGTCTATCAAGACTCGCTTTAAAATTTCACCATCTTCAGTAGTTTGTCAAGGTTATAAGTAGGGAAATACACATCCAGACCCAGGTAAGGTATGGATCAAATTACAGGCTTGTCAGATAGTTTTTATTTATTAGGTTGTTTACGATCATTATAGTGTCAGACACATTGTGGCATTTTGCCATCTTCAGCAGTACGTGAAGGCTTTAAGCAGGGAGACACACATCCCAGATAAAGAGGTATATAAGCTGATTGGCAATACAAAATTATTTCAGAGTAGCTGAATGTACATAATTCAATTTTTACCGGAAATCTTGCCTATCATCGCTGTTTTGGTCTGTTAAGATACATTTTGGCATTTCATCATCTCCAGTAGCGCATGAAGGATATAAGCAGAGAAATATACATCCAGACCTAAGTAAGGTAAGGATCAAATTACAGGCTCATCAGATTCAGTTCTTATTCATTTGGTCTTTTCTGATCGTTATCATCAAATCATTGAAGTTTTGGTCTGTCAGATATATTTTACCCTTTTTTCAATCATCCGTTTTGTCGAGCATTTAACATTTTTATTGTCAGAACTTTTAATAAAACAGCTATAACCTAGAAAATGGAATATTTTTTTATGAATGTGTCATTAAATAAACCAATGATTTACTTAACATTTTAAACACTTGTACCTTTGAAAATTTGTCCATTAGTTTGTAAACTTTATGTCATCCAGGACGCAAAATTTAAGGCCACCTTATTGTTGTTTTATTATCCCCCCCCCCAATGGATCAAAGTTGCCTGTGCATTTTTCCACCTTTTCTCGAATTTTTCCCCTTCTCAAATTTCAATTGACAAGACCTTGCTTGGATAGACGTGTTGTTTTCCAGATGATTTGCTAAATATTGTTCAGTTTTTGAGAATTGAACCATCTTATTTGCACATTTTTAAGGGAATCTGTAATTTTTATTAATTTTTGGGTGTTTCTTTTGGTTTGACAGATTATAATTAGGTTAATTTTTTTCTATTTATTTTGCGATTTTAATACACATATATTTGTTCGTATATAGAAAGACAAATATATAAAATTTGACAAAAAAATAAGTAACTATATTGAACAAGTAGACTAATAAAGCAGGTATTTTTAAAAATTTATTTGTTATGATGAAAGAAGTCATATGAAAGTTGTGAATGTTTACATGAACATTCCGTCGAATCCTGGTGGTTGAAAGTGATCTGCATCTGGTGGGGGCCTTGGCCTCTGATCGGGTCGACCTCGTGGTGGTCCAAACGGATCAAACCTTGCACCAGGAGGCACAGCACCCCTGAAAAATGACATAAATACAAAAGAAGACAAAAAAAAAAAAACAAAAAAAAAAAAAACAAACCTCGGAAGACCTCCAGGTATGCCNCCGTCCGTCAAAATTCAAACTGGCGTCTCATCGTTCCGTTCCTTATCAGCGGGAGGGTCCAAAAAAAAAAAAAAAAAAAAAAAAAAAAAAAAAAAAAAAAAAAAAAAAACAAACCTCGGAAGACCTCCAGGTATGCCAGCACCGGGATCCATAAAACCACCTGAACGAGGGTCCAACGGATTAAAAATCATGCCTCCCCCCCTGCTGAATGGGTCCAAATCACTACGACCGACCCTTAAAGGATCCCTCTCAGGGTCGACCCTGCAAAATGGTTCATAACAGAGAATGTAGGCTTATATGGAATGTAACATTGTGTCTGATTTAGTTTGGTTAAAAAAAGTAATAACAAAAAGTGTAAATAAATATTAAATAAATTACTAGATACAGGAAAGGCATTTATTTGTACAGATAAAAAAGCAACACATGATTGTAAAAAAAAAAATAAATGTAACTTACCAAAATGGATCAACTGCAGGCTGTCCAATGATACGTCCAGGATTAATCGGTGTAGGTATATGAGCGGGCAAAGTTGGAGTGCTCTGGGATGTGCCGACACTGGTACTCTGTTTGTTTGTCTGTGTTGTGGCTTCTTTGTTGTTTAATGTGTCCTTGTGCGGCTCAAGAAGCTCTGTCCTAACTTTGTCTATGACCTGTCTATAATCCTCTAGCAACGAAGTGACAGGCCCTTTCAAGCTTTTGACTGTATTCTGTGCATTGAAAGCCACGTTCGATACGTTCAAGTCATTCCCTTTCTGCAAATAAATCAGGTGTAAATTAAAAATTATATTTAATAGTTAAAAACTAATTTCTAGAGAGTACATGCATGCACTATGTATGTAGTAAATAGGTGATGAGATAGCTCAAGCGGTAATTCTTTGTACTTGAGAACAACAATTTGTATTTTTTATAAGAATAATTTTTAAAAATGATTTTATTCAGGATTTTAAGAAAAAGTGAAAATTTTAAGACTACTGCACACACTTTTAGATTTCTAATATTTATTCTTTTTGTTTTAAATTTGTGTTGCTTCAATAGGTACATACCTAGCTTTTTAAATTAAAAAACTGTTTCAAGTAGTTATTCCGTTTGAATGCCATTTTCATCACCTTATTCATTAGTGCCATCTAATTCCGGGAAGAGTGTGAGCGAATATTGTATTTTGCACCTGGAAAAGCCCCTAATTATGTTCTTATATCTTTAAACGAAAGCTCTTTTAAAGACATACATATCACGCAATCGCAAGCCCTTGTATTCTCTTGGTTCAAGGGCTGAGAAACAGGAGCGGCTTGGTTCAGTTTTGGCTGTGCCCCTAGCAATTCGGACTTTACATTATGTATGACTTGCTTATAATCGTTTATTAGCTTTTCAAGGGATCCGTAAATGGCATTCACAGATTTCTCAACTTTAAAAGCAACCGTTGAAACGAACATATCTTTCTCCCGCTAAAAATAATTAAACGCATACTATTAAAAATGTAAGAACCATCGATAATTTTGATTTTTCAAATATGCTAATTGTTATGTTTTTAATGACCGCATAAATTAGAAATAAAATGACCGTCAGTGTTTCAATTTGTCTCAGACCCCATTGCGTCGAAATTGCGAAATCCCATCATGTAATTATGATTACAAAGAAAATAAAACTTTACGAATCTTGTTAAAAAATGAAAATAAAAATTGATAATTTTCAACATTTCTTCTATAATTGCCTATGGCATTAGGTAGGTTCATCAAGGAATTTCAGGCAATGATGCAGTAGACATAAAGGTAGATAGAGGAATTCTTATTTAACATAAAGGTTTAAAATTTCTTAAAAAAATTGGTTTTAACAATAGCCTGCCGCTATTGGGGGGGGGGTCTAATGTCATGAGGAAATTTTAACGACATCCTAGCTTAACGGGAGCCTTGCGACAACACAGACAAAAATCCATTTTGTGATGTAAATTATGACCACACATTAAAAAAGTACTAAAAAAGCAATAGGACTGCTTGTTAAAACAACCCAATGGGGGTAGAGGAAATCATATCCAATAGAAGAATTTGTAACTGTAAAAAAAAAAAAAAAAAAAAAAAAAAAAACTGTAAAACACTGCGTTTTACCAACAGTCTGGCACTAAGATGGTCCCAGAAAATGAGACAGCAGATATCCTTGCTTACTAGGGAGCCTCTGAAAAATATAAAGCCCTATGTATGGGCCAAAAATATACGTATATTAAAAAAAAACTTAAACGAAAGGAGTTAAAAAACTGGGTTTGACCAATAGCCTGATGGTCTCAGGTTATGAGGGATTTTGGTAATAGGGCAGCTGACATCTAGATAAAAAGGGAGGCTTGGAACAACAAGAACACAATAAATGCTGGGAATATATGTAAGTGAGAAGAAAGAAAAGGAATATTCGTTAAAACATACCAATGGGAGATCGAGGAAATCCTACTTAAATGAAAGGTGTTCAGAAACTGGGTTTGATCATAGTCTGATGGTCTCATGTTATGAGGGAATTTTGGTAGTATGGCAGCAGACATCCTAGATAAAAGGGAAGCTTAGAACAACACATAGACCCATATTAAATTCACATAAAAAAAGGAAGGAAAAAACAACTGGAATTTTGGGTGACTAAAGAACACACCAAATACTGGAAATGTATGTAAATATGAAGAAAGGAAAGGAACATTCATTAAAACAACCCAATGGGACATAGAGGAAATCTTACTTAAATCAAAGGAGTTAGAAGGGAGCAGACATCCTAGATAAAAGGGATTCTCAGAACAATAGACCCATATTATATTCACATAAAAAAAGAAGGAAAAAACAGGTGGAATCTTGGGTTACTTACAAGTTTAGTTACAACTTTCACTGTGAAAATGTATACCTAAGCATGATGTGAACAAAAAAGGAAAACTTACAAAAACAACCCAATGAGAAAAAGAGAAAATACTGTTGAACAGAAAGGCATAAAACAATCAACAGATAGGCAATAGCCAGGGAAAGGCACTGGTACTCAGTAAAACCATTCTTTAGCTATGCAGATCATGATGACCATTGAGAAAAATTCTTTACTTCATAAAAGAAAAGATATTAACTACAGCAAAGTTTAGGTGCAAAAGGGATGGCTAGATAGGTTAACAATTTCATCAGCGATTAGTCTGTGTGCTTGTAAAGGACAAACACACAGCAACCGGTGAGAAGAAGCAAGTCGAAATTATCAGAATGGAGCTACCTAAACCACCACTTTTTAAAGTGTTAGAGAAAGTGTCATCGAGGTCAACAGCAAATGGATATCACAGAGGCAGTTGGTGTTTCTCAGAGCTTGGTCTCTCGGGCTTTAGACCGATTTGGGGAGACTGGAAGTGCCAATAGGAGGCCTGGTAGTGGAACTCAGCGCAGACGCTAAGGGAGGTCAAATATTGTCACTACTGCAAGACAGAACCCTTTCCATACTGCCCACCAGATCCTGAATGAAGTACAAGATGTTTTAGCAAGGCCTTTATCAATACAAATGATTGTAGTTTGGCCTCACATCATATTCTTCTTTGAGACGACCTGGAGCAACAGCCCGCCACCAGCAATTCAGGAGAATATGGTGCAGAGAGCGCCTAGAGAACAACAATTGGAATACTGTTATGTTTACTGATGAGTCACGTTTCTGTCTGTATAGTGATAGAAAGGTGCCAAAGAGTCTACCGAGTACAGGGAATGTGTAAAATGCACCAGTGCTCCCTACATGGGGGAGCCCATCCCTAAGTATGGAGAAGGCGGTGCAATGGTTTTGGCTGGGATTTACACTGGCGGACGAACTGGACTCCATACTGTTAAAGGCAACCTCACCGCAGTCCATTATGTTCAAGAAATACATCCCTCAAACCAGTGATCTCATAGGCAGGGATTTTCGGTTTCTGGATGACAATGGCAGACCTCATAGAGGCAGAGTTATTCATCAGTATTTAGACAACCTGGGAATTTCCAATCTGCCCCTTCCCCATTGTCTCCAGACCTCAATCCCATTGAGCGTATGTGGGATGCGTTGCAGAGAATGATTTTCGATCACCATCCACAGCCAGTTGGCCTGCAACAACTGAGTGCAGCGTTGTGACATCTATGGTGTGAAATTTCTTATGAAATTATTGACAACCTTATTATGCCTAATAGGTGCACAGAGGTTTTACCTAATAGGGAATACACGGTATTGTTTAAAAAAAATATTGTGTCCAATAAACAAAATTATGGAATAACCTTTTGTTATTTTTCCAAATCCCTTAATTAAATTTAACAATTAACTTCTATTAAATTTTAATGCAATTTTTAATTCAAATAAAATAAAAATGCTATGGAAAAGAAATACTACAAAATTGGCAATATTCCTATTCTTTTTTGAGCAGTTTTTGTTATCAGGATTTAAACATGGAAAAAAAAAACACGAAGCAGTTATGACTCTTTCAGACATGGTGGCTAGTTGAATGGACGGGTGTGTCAAGGAGTGTAGCCCAAGTAGCAAATGATAGGAACCACCCCAACCCTTTCACACGCAATCAGCTCGACTGCCCAGGCAGGTGACCAGCAGGCACAAGTGCTGCTCACGTTCTTATCCCCGTTGGTTGAATCAAAACAAAAGACACAGCGTGGAGGTCGACAGATTCCTCCTCAAGATTGTACAGATTCATTCCCAAGGTTGAGAGTTTATCAACACATAACTCCCTATGAAAACTGATACTTAGTGAAATTAATTCCTCAAATATGTACTCACTAATGACCTCAAAATAAAGAGTTGTAGAAGATGAAAATAAAAGATCACTTCTACTGGCTATGCCTACTAATATCATGGATGTATCAATGATCTGTTGAATTTAATGACGGATTTCAACCAAGACAATGATATTAGCGATCAATTAGGACTTGGTGACCCCACAGGTGACGCCTCTAATGTCGCACATTTCGTAGAGGCATGTTGTTGCAAGGTGTATAATAAAATAGTACAATATAATAAGTGCAATGATGACTCTAGCTTAAATTATGTATATACAAGTGTATTTGTGAGTACATTTTTACTGTTTTTGTAAAAAATTGTTTACAACTGACAGAAATGTTGATTGTAGGACCTGAGAATGACCTAGTGGGTTAAAACCGGTCAGTAATTGGGCATTGAAAGTCTATTTATTGTGGCCTGATATCATCAACCTTCTAAACAGAGTATTAAAGCTGAGGCCCACAACATCCCACCAGTTATTGGATCTACAAATAATCATTAATTAATGGCCATTAAATACCACTCGTTACTTATATCTATGAGGTGAAATCTGTCTCCCCTGTATCCGATGTCCAAATAACCATTAATTAACTGTCAGGTTAATTCAACTTTTAATAAGGCAGTCTACACAGTACTTGGATTAACCACCCATGGATGGACATAAAGAATTGTTAGGGTTGGTTATATCTAAAAGGGCACATCATTGGTTTAGTGTGCTGACTGTGACCTACATAACCACGGTGCACAAGATATTTTAATAATCTGTATTGATGAATTAAAAGGCTTTCCAGAAGCCATTGTCAGTATTTTTCCACAGACAGAAGTTTCAGCTATGCGTGGTTCATCAAATTTGCAATAGCTCTGTTATATATTGCCAATAAAGATCAAAAAGGGTAGCTATCAACAATGCATTGCCTGATGTAGAAAATTGAGACAACAATCTTGCTTAGCTTATTTCGTCCTGCACCAAAAGAGGTAAATTCATTCCAAAAATGTTGCTGTTGATTCACGCATTATGTAAAATGAAGTACGTAAAAAGAAACACTCACCCTAATTATGGTCAATATTGGCTTTAACGTTGCAACTAATTGCTCTGAAAAATCAGCTTGTTACGAGAATCAGCTATCACAATCCCTGAAACCAAACCTAGTCCAATCGCGGCAGCCGGCCCTTGATATAAATGCCAGTATAATGATAAATCAAGATTACATCCAAACAGAGAAGCCTAATAACGACCACGTCAACCTCTACCAGATGTTTGATATTCAGCAACACAAGCATCTCCAGTACTTAACTGATCAATAAACTCAAGTAGATATTGATTGGTAGAATTAACAACTGGCTTTACAATTGTGTTTCCTCGTCTTACTAAACCGTAAATTCATTCATAGTCTAGTAAATCCTTTTTTATCTAGATCAGCATAAGCTGTCATAGCTCCAGTGGGATCAGTGTTGCTGTCATGATTAATTGATGAGTTTAAATTCTGTGCTGTTGGCCTTTTTCTCATAATTTCAAACATTGATGTATCCCAAACGTTGCTCATCAATGATCACTAGTGCTAATGAATTGCATTCTACCTGATTTTGGAAAATTGCGTGGGTACCAATTATCATTGCTACTTCTCTTGCAAATAGCTTCTTGATGGATCAATCCGGATTTTTCTTTTTGTTTACCTGATAACCAACCGACTTGGATATAAAGTGGTTCTAAACATTTCCGCAATACATTGACTGTTAATTAAATACCACATGTTACTTATCCCTGCGAGGAGGAATCTGTCTGCCCCTTTCTCTACATCCTAACTGATGAAATATGACAGATATGTCAACGGTTGTCAAAGATTAAGGTTTGAACAGCATACTTTTATGTTAAGGTTAATGAATTTTGTTTGACAATCCAATTTAATTCCTCTAGCTTTAAATGCCACACGTTACTTACACCTGCGAGGAGGAATCTGTCTGCCCCTTTCTCTACATCCTAACTGATGAAATATGACAGATATGTCAACGGTTGTCAAAGATTAAGGTTTGAACCGCATACTTTTATGTTAAGGTTAATGAATTTTGTTTGACAATCCAATTGAAAATGATCCAATCGGTTGAAACCGGTCGGTAATTAAGTCAATTGGACATTGAAAATCTATTTATTGTGGCATGATATCATTAAAAATCACACGTTACTTGTACCTGCGAGGAGGAATCTGTCTGCCCCCTTCTCTACATCCTCATTGATGAAACATGACGGATATGTCAACGACTCTCAAAGGTTAAGGTTTGAACCACATACTTTTATGTTAAGGTTAATGAATTTTGTTTGACAATCCAATTTAATTCCTCCAGCTTTAAATGCCACACGTTACTTATACCTGCGAGGAGGAATCTGTCTTCCCTCTTCTCTACATCCTCACTGATTAAATATGTCGGATATGTCAACGGCTGTCAAAGGTTAACGTTTGAACCGAATCCTTTTGTGTTAAGTTAATGAATTTTGTTTGACAACCCAATTTAATTATAAATTAAATAGAAGAAGGTCCATACCAAAAGATTGAACACGATGTTTTCAGCAACAGGGACACCCCTGAGAACGTAGAGAGAATTGTCGTGGACGTATCTTATCGAGTAGCTCGACCCTGCGTTCCATCCTTTCGGCAGGACCTCCGAGCTCGGCTCGTTCCCAGTCAGCTCTCTCTGAAATATTAAACAATTTTATTTTAAAAAGAAAAAAAAAAAGAAAAAATTATATTTTGACTTACCGAGTCTCCCAGCCCGATGCATCTGTACCCGTTCCTTATAAGCACGTAGTGTATGACAAGGGTGAGTACGTCCTCCTTCTTGCGTATGTCGTTTTCGGACACGGCGTAGATCAAATCCCAACCGAACAAATCCGACATTTTTCTCCTTCGATAAAAACAAAAAAAAGAGAAAAAAATGCCGTCCGTCAAAATTCAAACTGGCGTCTCATCGTTCCGTTCCTTATCAGCGGGAGGTTACCACGAAAACGGCTTTCCATACTTCCACCTTCCTTCACTGAACGATTTTCAAGTCATTTCGTCCCATTCCGGGCGCTCTGTTGTATAAGAGAACATGTGTTTTGTTTAAATATTCTTTTTGGAGAATTTTCTAAAAGCGATGGGAATGTTTTTACCCTTGTATACACTCTAATTTCCCTTGGTTTTTAATCAACTTAGAAGAGGACAGAAATATTCTCTCATCATCCATATCACTAAAGAAACACGGCTGTACATTAAAAACAATCCATTTTGACACATTGTAAAGTTTATCAATTCAAAAGGATCAACAGAGATTATGGCTTTTTGAAAAGAGATGGCAGTGGAAAAGAGAATTCTAGAATCGAATTAGATCGATAGAGCAGACGGGAAAAGTAAAATGGCGGAATGTGTTGTGCACCGTTCGTCTCGTCGTTAGAAACCGAGACGGTCGACGCGTCGTGAATCCGACGAAAATGTGAAAAAAGGGTCCGAAAATCATCACCGACCGACCAGTCATCAGTGGTTCAACGCACAACCGACACAGACGCGTTTTTTTATTATGGCGAGTGATAAAATCAAAGTGGCAGTTCGTGTCCGGCCTTTCAACAGACGAGGTACTTTAAAAAAAATATTTAATTTTTTTTTTAATTTATCTTAACTGATACGTCCTGCTCAAGAGAAGGACGGAGGATCCTTATAAGGGCCCGCCCCGCGCTATGCCGTCACCTGCTCCCCTTGCAGGACTGACACCTGTCATGTTACAAAATTTCAACACTTTCCTTATAAAAAAAACAAAAACACAAACAAATTTCAAAATAACATCATCACAAACAACGATGACTAAGTGTTTCATGAGGCTTTTAGATAATGGATGATCAATCGGACAAATTTTTGCAACTGCATATCAAAAACTTCGACCTTGCGCCTGTTCATTACTCACACAATTAAAAAAAACGACGAATTTATATTGATTTTTTTGATTTTGAAATCAATAAACAAACGTTTTCATATATATATTAAGGGGGAAAACATAAACTACTCATGTAAACATTTAAATGGATGGGCTTGAAATGGGCATGTCCATTTTAAAGGAAACTACATTTCATCAAATGTTGTCAACATTTTCTTCATCATCATCCGCCTGCGTTGTCTTTGTTTCAATTTTATTTTCGGCGAATATGTCAAAATACTAATTAAAACTGTTGAGATAGTGTTAATTAGTAGACAACATAGTTTAGCAGATCAGAGTCGGTTTTGGTTTACGGACTGCATTTGGTACCACATCATTACGAGCTTAAGAAACGCAGACAAGCTGTAAATCATCAATTGATCATCAAAACCAAGACACAATCACTTAGATTACGAAAAACCACCCGTGTGAAAGTTTATATGGATGGGCTTGAAATGAACATGTCCATTTTAAAGGAAACTACATTTCATCAAATGTTGTCAAGATTTTCTTCATCATCATCAGCCTGCATTGTCTATGTTTCGATTTTTTCGGCGGATATGTCATAATAAATATTAAAACTTTTGAGACAGGATTAATCAGTAAACGACATAATTCAGCAGATCCGAGTCGTTTTTGGTTTACCAACTGCATTCGGTACCTAACAACATCATCATGAACTTTAGAAACGCAAACAAGCTATAAATCACCAATTGAATATTAAAACCAAAGCACAATCATTTTAAGATATCATGCTTTTAAAGAAAAAAACAATAATCAAAATAGTTTTAACTGCAGATCTCTTGTCCGTGCTATTGTCCAAAAAATTTTAATCAACATGTCAAATTTATTTAACTCCTTTTTTTAAAGCGCAATTAGAAAATGTCTTATTTATGTAACGAAAAACACCCATGTAAACATTTAAATGGATGGGCATGAATTGTTCATTTAAAAGGAAACTACATTTCACGATATGTCAAGATTTTCTACATCATCGCCCTCGTGCATTGTCGCTTCTTCGATTTTATTTCCCTTAGATATGTCAAAGGACAGTATTGAAACTTATGAGTCAGGATTAGTAGAAAACATAATTTACCAGATCGGAATCGTTTTCGGTTTACTAATTCATTCGGTACATACCACATCATCATGAGTTTTAGAAACGCAGACCAGCATGAATCACCAATTGATTATCAAAATCAAGGTGCAATCACTTGAAGTAATCACTCTTTTAAGGAAATGAGCAATAATGGAAATATTTTTAACTCCTTTGTTTTTAAACATGACCAGTTCATTCAAACTTTCTCTAAATTAGATTACGAAAAAACACCCGTGTAAACATTTAAATGGATGGGCTTTAAATTGAGCATGTCCATTTAAAAGGAAACTACATTTCATCAAATGTTGTCAAGATTTTCTTCATCATCAACCGCCTGCATTGTCTCTGTTTTGATTTTATTTTCATTGGATATATCAAAAATCAGTTTTGAAACTTCTGTGTCAGGAGTAGTTGGTAGAAAACAAAATTTAGCAGTTCCGAGCCGTTTTTGGTTTACGGACTGCACTTGGTACCGCATCATCGTGAACTCAAGAAACGCAGACAAGCTATAAGTCCCCAATTGATTATTCAATCCGTCACAATAATTTAGAAAACGAAAAAACGCCCAGGTAAAAATTTAAATGGAGCTTGAAATAAGCATGTCCATTTGAAAGGAAACTACATTTCAACAAATGTTGACAAGATTTTTTCATCTTCAGTCTCGTACATTATCGCTGTTTCGATTTTAATTTCATTCGATTTGTCGAAAAACAGTATTGAACTATTGAGACAAGATTAATTGGTATAAAACAAAAATTAGTAGATCGGAGCCGTTTTTGGTTTACTAACTTCATTCGTTACCACGTCTTCATGAGCTTTAAAAACGCAGATAAGCTATAAATCACCAATTTATTATCAAAACCAAGACACAATCATATATTCAAGATAATGTATTAGGTCCATATTAACATTGCATTATCTAATTACTGTTAATAAAAAATATAAAAAATCAATCAGTAATAATTATTTCGTTTGTTAAGTGAATTTATTACTACTATTATTGTGTTAATGATCCTGCCCGGAGGACCAGTATTGTTTGATTTTTCATTGACGAGGTGTTCTGTCCAAGAAACGAAAAAATTTATATTTATTTTATATATCACACCGTTTATCTAAAAATGATAACAGATATAATTTTATCGTAAGCTTTATTACCACTAATAATAGTTTGTTTCAATATTTTCTGAAGTGTAATCTGAACATAAAATATTTGATTGTCTGAAATTGTGCTTAGTCCTTTGAGGGTGCGTTTCACCAATCACGGTTTAAACTAGGTTCACTGAAAATTCGTTCATAATTATAAGGAAAGAGTGTTGTAGCGAACCTCGCGGCGTAATGGTGATGTGACTTGATGAGTGAAAATAAATATACGATAGAAAAAGCATTGAGTTAAATAATAAAAAAAACATAGAAATTGCCGGATTTGTTACTGATAAGAAAAACAAAAGACATAACTATGTATAAGAAAGAACATTCAATAATTTGTTTGTCAAAAGTTGATTAATTTTCATTTGTAACAAAAATTGCCTCAAATTGTTTTCAATTTTTGTTGATCAAAATTTCAATCTTCAACAACATACAGGTTATATTATGAAATGAACGTCACTTAACTCTGAACTAGGTTTAAACCACGCTCGACGGCCGTTCAAAGTACAACCAGGTTCAAGATAAAATAATTTTTAAAAAACGGCAATTTTTAAGTCGTACTCGGTCCAGTACTAAACTGAGTTTAAACCAAGTTACGCATCCGGCCTTGTCCACTAAGACAAGAGCAAGACAAAAAAATGATAAGTCTGAAGTGAGAGTCAACATAACGACTGTAAATACATATATATAACTTCATGAATATGTTTAATATCGGACGACGTTTAAATAACTATAACTATAACTTATGAAATAATCGTTAACAAAGATTTTGACACTTTATTCAAATTTTTGATTAAATTGTAATGGTAACACGTCAAAATGAGTAAGAACTGACCATTGGAATCGGATTAATGATTATTTAATCTTACTTATTACTATACAAGATAAATTGCTATTTCTTAGAAAGAGACAAAACTAGTAGCATCAATAGTAATTAGCTAAATTGTGTATTGCTATGATAACGTTTACTATCCGGCCCGGAGGACCAGTAATGTTTGATTTTACATTCATAACTCGGTACTGTACTAAAGAGTTTAAACCATGTTAGTGCAACGGGCCAAAAACAAAAAATGAAAAGTCTATGAAGTGAGAGACAATATAAAGAATATAAATTCATACACACAATTTCATGAATATGTTTAATATCGGACGATCTTTAAATAACTAGTTTTAAATAACTATAACTTATGAAATATTCATTAACAAAGATTTTGACACTCTATTCAAACGTTCATTAAACTGTAATGGTGACACGTCAAAATGAGTAACAAAGCTGACCATTGGAATCGGATTAATGATTATTTAATCTTATTTATTACTATACAAGATAAATTGTTTTTCTTTAAAAAGAGAAACTATAGCATCAATACTAATTAGTTGAATTGTGTATTTTTTTTTTTTTTTCCGGGGCTTCCGACATCTAGGTCATTTCAGCCCCCACTAAGTCTATATTCTATACACGTTCATACAAATAAATACATTTATACATTTAAATACATCCATACAGTACACTCATTCCGTTTGGTCGGTGGAGTACTTGATATTCCTCCACCGACCTACACTTAAACTAAACTAGATTGGGGTCGATGGGGTACTTTTATAAATATTCCGCCATCGACCCCGAACACACACTCACCCGCTTTCATCGTTCGAGGGGCGATGATGACGTTATATTCACCCTCACCCCTCGCCATTCACGCTAATAAATACATGCACACAGACAAAACATATAGACACATAACACATAAGACATACTATATACAATAAAAAAACCCAATTTTCCCTAAAAAGCGGAACAGGGGACTCTGAAACTCGCTACCATGCTCGAGGACTCTTCTTAAATCCGGCGGCATGCCTACACGCTCTCTGTATGGAGCTAAGGCATGACACGCCTCTATTATGTGGGACACATCGAGCAACCTTTCTCTGCATAAAGGGCACCTGCGCGGGCTTTGGCCCAAAAGCAGGTGCCCATGTGTCAACCGAAATTACCCCTAATAATATTTTCTAAATTTGAAAATTCTGATTGACTGACTGTGCTTAGCCCTTTGGGACTCATAAATACAGTAACATGATTTAAAAAAAGGAAATACAGAACTTGAAGTGATATTTAACATTGGACGATTTTTAAACAAATATAACTTGTGGAGTATTTGAATAGATTTTTATGTCAAAAGTTTTGCAATTTTATTCAAAGTTGATTAAACTATAATTGATTCAGGTCAAAATTTCAGAAACGTTTATTATTGAAAAGGTAAATAATTCATTAGCAAATTGCATTTAATTAAAAAGAGATAAAACCAGTATCATTTGTAATAATTATTTCATTTGACATATTTGATTTTTTGCAAATTGAATTCTCTGGAAAATTATTTAGTTGTGCAGATGATACTTGTGTCATTTTCCCCGGTGATAATTTA